CTAGGATCGAGCCCCACATCGGGCTCCCTGCTCCACGGGAAGCCTGCTTCTCCCTCTCCCACTCCCCCTGCTTGTGTTCCCTCTCTCGCTGTCTCTCTCTGACAAATAAATAAATAAAATCTTTAAAAAATAAATAAAAGATAATATACCCGAGTCACAGAGAGTCCTGCCAAACGAGGTCTGCATTTCAAGTGTTCTGAGCCAGACCTATGTATGCCTAACCGTCGTCTCTGTATCCCACCCCGGCCCCATTCACACACACACACACACACACACACACACACACACACACACACGGCATTGAGCCAGAACAGGGGTCAGGGGTACAGGCAGGAGGAGATTGTCACCTCTGCCTTATTCTGGTTATCCCAGGATCATAAATGCCCGACATCACTGTACCCCCTTAAAGACGGAATGGATACGTGGTCACGCTCTCATTTTATGCCTCCAAACAGTTCCCTGGATGATGAAATACAGCCACGAGGGCAGTCAGGAGCAACTCGAAGGGTCAGAGCAGGGGACAGTGGCCTCTACCCTGAGTCCTCCAAAGACATTGCTGTCACCTTCTAATACTTTCTTTTTCCTCCCAACACTTGTCACCACATACAATACACTAAAGACGTAATTGCTGGGGCACCTGGGCGGCTCAGTTGGATAAGCATCTGCCTTCGGCTCGGGTCATGATCGCAGGGTCCTGGGATGGAGCCCCGGGTTGGAGTCCCTGCTCAGTGGGGAGTCTGCTTCTCCCTTTGCCCCTCCCCCACAGCTCATGCTCTCTCTTGCGTATGTGCTCTCTCTCTCTCAAATAAAGAAAATTGTTTAAAAAATTAAAAAATAAATTTAAAAAAACCAAATACATACATAATTGTTTTTGTCTTACCCACTAGAGCATATGCTACTTTTGGGTAGGAACCTTATTTGTCCTACTCACCACTGTATCCTTATCTCCTGGCCTAACTCATCATCCTGCACATAGTAGGTGCTCAGTAAAAGTTTGTTGACTGAACAAATGGATGAATAAATGAAGAGCAATATTTTTGGACCACCTCACTGATAAGGCCACCCTGGAAAAATATAGTCAATCAGTATAGTCAAACCCCCTTCTGAAGGGGCTAACATCCTTGGGACTTCTGCCGACAAGACAGAATGACAAATCGGGAAACCATCAGTGTCTGTGTTTTCCCCATTCTCCCCCCACCGTTTAGGGTGTGAAGAACTCAGGAAAGACCTTGTTCCAGCACAAAGCCAGAAGAGCTGCCAGGCCCTTTTATCTGTCACCAACGTTCTCTAAAGAATGACAACATGGCATGCCTATTGCGTCTATTTTTTGTTAGTTTCATCTTCATAACCACCCAGATGATAAATATTTTATAATTCCCATTTTACAGTTGAGGAAACTGAGATTAAGAGAGGTTAAATATAAATAAATACATACATACGTACGTACTTACATACATAGCATGTCATGTCATGCACGCAGCATCAGGCAGCATCAGGACGCAACCCCACGTCTGAGTTCTAAGCCACACCTGGTGTCGCCTGTCTGCTTGCCACACCCCTGCATCTATCCCTCTCCTTTCAGTCAGATTTCCAACCCTGCTTTCTCCTTCAAGCAGCCCAGAATGTCAATTTTAGCCTGAAGTGTTTTGCATTTTGTACTGTGCTCCCTAATTTTCCAAGTATCTTGGTGTAAATTCTATCATTTAAGTTTCAAAACAATGTTGTCTGCTAAGCAAGGGCTCATCATTTCAGATGTAGAAAATGACAAACAGAAAGGTGAAGTGACTAGCACGACACGACTTACCTAATCAGAGCTGGGATTTGCACATCAGTGCTCAGATGCCACTCTCTCTCCAGCCCAAATGTGCTCTGGAAAACAGCATCTGAGGGTGCTCTCGGTGTGATCGGCCTCAGGCCCTGCCTGCACCCTAATTTGGTTCTGGGCCCCCACCAGTGCCCAGAGCTGTCCCTGAGAAACCTCAAGCTGGCAAACATTGATCCACCTTGTCAGCTAATTCTAGCACAGCCTGCCCTGGGGAACCTCAGGAACCTTCCTTCTATAATAGGAAAGCAACCTAGGATTTCAAAGGAAATCTGAATATCTGAGAAAGTCTAAATGTTGTAGCTTAGTTTAGAAAATGGTGCCAGATATTTGTACTAATTTTATCTTCACTCTTTCTCTGCCCTGATCCCCTTAGCCTCAGTCTGCTCCCGACCCACCCCCTTTCCTCTTCAAAAAGAAATAACGTTGCATCATCCTCCATGCAGTAAAAATGCTTTAAATTATAGCCCTATGGTTATCATTCTGAGAAACAAGGTCGCAAAGTATTCTTACCAGCTCTCCCCGCAAACAGTGCCAGGCTAGGTGGGAATGAGTAATTAGAAGAAACACAATTATACATTTTATATTTTTTAAAGATTTTTATTTATTTGACAGAGACAGAGATAGCGAGAGAGGGAACACAAGCAGGGGGAGTGGGAGAGGGAGAAGGAGGCTTCCCGCGGAGCAGGGAGCCCAATGCGGGGCTCTATCCCAGGACCCTGGGATCATGACCTGAACCGAAGGCAGACGCTTAACAACTGAGCCACCCAGGGGCCCCACAATTATACATTTTAATCCAAACTCTTATAGGATGTCCTTACTGGCCAGCAACTAATGAGCATATAAAATGAAACATACTAATGATCACCAAAAATGATGAGTCTTGCTTTAAAGTGGTTTCTATGAACTATTCCACCTGCTTGCCAGGGCAGTTCTTTTTCTTCAGTATGGCTTCCTTTCTCTATGATTTGTCTCTATGGACAATTTTCCTGTCTGTATGGAAGCCATATTGTTCTTTCTGTGTCTAAACCCGTGTGTTTTGTGCACATGTCTGCACATCTGCATTAGTGGGGGCTGGACTGAGTGAGGACCTCCATGTGCCAGGCACTGTACCAGGTGCTTTCCATATATAAACCCATCCCCACCTCCAGGGGGCCCATGATGGCAGTATGATTGCTAGTGTTCTTTTGCTTTTACAGATGAAGAAACTGAGGCTCAAAGAAGTTAAGAATTTGCCTAACAACACACAATAATAAAAATAATCCTATCAATAGTCCTAGAACAGTAACTGGATATCAGCACTAAAAACATCCACACATTCCACAGATTCACTCAACACTTTTATTTCAGCATGGGATGCACTTTCTTCAATGAATCTCAGTGAGCTTTACCACTAAATGACCAGGAGGAGAAAACTATGTTGAATCTTTAATAAGTCTCTTCTCCCCACTTACAAGATCAACAATGACAATGGAATGTTCATTTTAATTTTGTTTTGGCCAAAATTAATTCTCACAGTTTAACCCCTCAAAAGTACTATGTAATGTGCCAAAATTATTTACAAAGTCAGAGACCTTTTAGATTTTTCAAATCCACCCATCCCTTCAATTATGAGAGCAGGATGATAACTATTTGTTATTTTTCTAGGAACAAGTCATTATATTAATTCTAATAACAATACATGAAACCATATTGGAATATTTAAACAATTTGCTTGTCTTCAATGATTGAGCTTAAGAAAAAAATTCTGATTAATTAAAAATTAAGTCTAATTCTTTTTTTTTAAGATTTTATTTATTTATTTGAGAGAGAGAGAGAGAGTGAGTGAGAGAGAGAGCACAAGACTAATTCTTAATCAAGCCTTGCATATGAACAGATATCTGGAGAAAATTAGGCCAGGCCACAAGGACATCATCCTGCTGATGTCTTCCTTAATTAATAATATCTGACCCACAACTTGGACATTACTTCTGCTAAAACTCTTATGCTGACTAATTAGATACATCATCATCCAGTCCATTAAAAGCATGAGGATGGTTACTGGTGATTTTATAAAGAGCAAAATATTCTCAAATTACTTGTTCTTTCAATATTAAAATTTAGGATTAAAATCCTTTACTTTCTTTGGAGCTATGCACTTTGCCTTACTCTATAATTGTGGTCAGAAAGTTGAGTATAAATCATGTTTTTATAACATAAAACATATTTTCCCATTCATTCTTTTTTGTGTGTTCTCATTCACTTATGTGATTAATTTATATGGGCATTTTCCTGAAGAAATGAAAGTTTTATTAAATATAAATGGCATAAATTTGCTATTTTAAAAATTTAGGATTTTAAACATGGTGGCCTCAAGAAGATTTGAGAAAATTCAAAGACAGGACAGCAAGTTAGGACAAAAAGAGGCAAAAAAAAAATCACTGGAAGCTGGGGTCTTGGCTGGGTAGTATTATTGGAGCAAAGCATATATATGGCCAAGTGAAGAGATATGAGGCTGCAGAGATAAGCAAAAGCCAGACCTTGAAAGGCTTTACTAAGGAGCACATCCTGAAAAATCCACTAGAGGGTTTTTATGCAGAGTGACATAATCAATTTGGAAACTGACTTTAAGAAACATGACTCAATCCACATGATGAAGATGTACTGGAGGGTGAAGGCAGGAAGAATGTTTATAGTAACCCAGCCAGAAGCAGTACAGAACTAATCCAAGGCCATCAGTGAGGATGGAGATGTGATGGTGGGTCCAGGAGAGTTTAGAGAGATGGAGGTTCCAGGAGGTTGTGACTGGTCCCCCAGGAAAGGGAGGAAGTACAAGTTAGTGAAGGAGCCAGCCTGGAATAGGATAACTAAGGACAATTACATGCCGTACCATGTAAGAGGATAAGAAACACCAGAGAAGGTGCATGTCTGACCAGGGATTTAAACTAACAAACTTCCAATGCCTGTGTACAGCTAGTGGAGCTGCCCCACAGAGAGCTCGGTGGGACTAGAACATCAGAGGGAAGTCTAGCTGGAGAGAATCAGTACTCATCCGTGGAAGCTGAAGCTGGCTCTCTGTGAGGTCGCTCACTATGTAGGTACGGAGCAAGGAGAGAAACACTGAAGTTTAGGTGGGTGAGTGAAGAGGCTTCCATGAAAAAGATAAGGCTAAGAAGCCCAGGAAATACTGATTACCTTGGAAGTCAAAGGGAAAGAGAATTTCAGGAAGAAAATGGTCCACACAGTCAAAGATCGCAGAGACTAAAAAGTGTTCTTTGTTTTGCAGAGTATGGGTGACTCCATTTCAGTACAGAAGGGAGAACAGAAGCCAGAATGTAACAGATACAAGAGCTGGAGTAGATTGCAAATGCAACCACTGGCATTTTCAGGCTCATTATTTTCCAGTGAACAAGTTTTCAATATTTTTTTGTTATAAGACAATATACCCATGATATAAAGCTTAGAAAATAAAGAATACAAAAAAATTCACCTGTGATTATATATGGTGACAAAACCACTGTACTTGGTCAATTTTCTCCCGGTCTTTAACAATGTGAATGTATTTCACTTCAAAATACTACCTCTTAAGAAACTTGAAGGTGAAAACTTACAAAAATTCCAACATGTCCCCCAAACCTATCTATAGTTTTCCTTAAATATTTGTCTTAATTCAAAGCATCTTTGCAAGAGCATGGCACCAAATAATAGGCCTCGCACTTAAAACTGGAACCATGTGTGAGCACTGTGAATTGTGCAAGACTGTTGAATCACAGATCTGTACCTCTGAAACAAATAATGCAATATATGTTAAGAAAAAAAAAAGAAGAAGAAGAAAGCAGGAGGGGAAGAATGAAGGGGGGGAATCGGAGGGGTAGACGAACCATGAGAGATGATGGACTCTGAAAAACAAACTGAGGGTTCTAGAGGGGAGGGGGGTGGGAGGATGGGTTAGCCTGGTGATGGGTATTAAAGAGGGCACGTTCTGCATGGAGCACTGGGTGTTATGCACAAACAATGAATCATGGAACACTACATCAAAAACTAATGATGTAATGTATGGTGATTAACATAACAATAAAAAAATCTTTAAAAAACTGGAACCATGTGTTGTTCATAATATATCCAAACTTAAACTTATTTTCATACCCCTTAGAAGCCTAATTCCAGCAAAGCCAGCAATGTAATGTCAAACTTGGAAGCTCAGCCAAGTATTTCTCTGCCCACAGTGGCTACTCCAGGCTTTACCTGAAACATGCAAGTTGTATGAATTCAGGTCCCTGGAAATTGGAATGGAAGCAGGCAGTCATCCCGCATCATATAATTTACTTACTAGAAGCAACTTCTTTCTTATCCCATGCCTCATACCAAACATTCTCCAGCTTTTGAAGTCCTCAAAGCATACCTAACTAGCTGGGCATGCTGGAGTAAGGACTAAAAAAGTTCTAGTTTACTTAAGCTTGACCTCCCCTCCAGGTCAGCCTGACTAACATTGCAAAGGAGGCTGGGCTGTCTTAGCCATAATACCTCTTCTCCTTCTCTGATACTCCTGAAAACAAAACCTCTTCCAAAATTTGCCCTGAAGAGATGGAGAGAGGGACAAATAAATAAGAGTATTTTAAATGTCAGCATTCAGGCTTTCATATGGAAATTTTACAAGGGGAAAGATAATGCTAGAAGTGGTGGTATGGATGAGTGAAGGTTTTAGATTAAAAAGGTCTATGAATTTGAGCTATAGAGGTTATCCAGGGGACTAATAATTCTGGGAGAATAGCCACATAAATATTTGCATTTCACTGGGAGCTCCCTGGAGCCACAAGTCTTAACTAAAGGCAGTAGTACATCTTGAAAAGTGATAGTAGGAAAAGTCTGGGGATACCTCACCTTTGTGGTGTCCTTCCAATGGTACTCTCTTGTCTAGTGATCTATAGCTCAAACTTTTGGTATCCAGTTAGGGATAGTTTCTCTTTCAAAGAGCTTTTACAAGGACGTAGACTCATGTTGAATGGGCCCCTCCAAATGTTGGGCACTCATGCTCTTCGGTCAGTTGATACCATAGATACAACACAATATTTTAAACAGATCAAAGAA